TAACACCTTGCCCAGAAACAGAATATTGGCCACTGGTCTAAAATTGGCGGCCACTTCTGGGTCCAGGGATGCCCTCTTCATGACAGGCTGGATCACCACCCCCTTCAAGGGGGCTGGGACCCAGCCCTCCCTCAGTGAGCCATTAATAACCTCCTGGACCCAGGGACCAATCCCGTAACTGGCCTCCTTCAGTAGCCAGGAAGGGCAAGGGTCAAGAAGACAGGTGGTAGGACGTACCATCCCAAGCACCTTGTCCACATCCTCAGGCCACAATAACTGAAACTCATCCATTAATGATGGACCATATGGTGTTCTGGAGACCTCCCATACAGGGCCTGTCTCAACTGCGGAGTCCAGAGCGCAGCGAATCTGAGCAAATTTTTCCTTAAAGTGCTGGGCAAAGACGTCACCGCAGGCTGCCGAAAGTGCAACCGTGTCATTTTCCTGGCCAGAGTGTGTTAGGCCTTGCACTATTTGGAAAAGTTCCACAGGACGGCACCATAAGGAAGCAGTAGAAGTGGAGAAGAACTGCCTTTTTGCCAACCTCACGTGACAGCATAGGCTTGATAATGAGCGTGTAAATGTGTTCGCTCAGATTCGTTGCAAGATTTCCTCCGCCTGCGCTCTAATCATCTCCCAACCTGCCTCATCGCCCGCAAGGCAGGTGTATACCAAGGTGCCGAGCGGGCTCTGCTGGGTGGGAGAGGACGCTTCGGAGTGATCATGTCGACTGCCTTGGTCATTTCCCTATTCCACGAATCAACCGGGACATCAACAGGAGCGCCAGCTTAATCAGCTGGAAAAATCCCCCAGAGCCCTCAGGAATCCGTCTGGATCCATCTTGCTCCGGGGGTGGACCATCTTAATAGGGCCTGCACCCTTCCAGAGGGAGGAAGCAGCCCTGAGTACAAACCTCACGAGGAAGTGGTCTGACCATGACAAAGGAGTTACGGTCAAGTTTCTCCACCCTCTTTCTGTCCCGTTGAGAAAACCAGGTCAAGCGTGTGACCTCTTTCATGGGTTGTGCCGGTGACATGTTGAGACAGCCCCATGGCTGCCATGGAAGGCATGAAGTCCTGGGCTTTCCTGGGCAGAACTGCCTCGGCGTGGAGATTGAAGTTCCCCGGGACCAACATCCTGGGGGTCCTCAACACCAGGTCTGAGACGATCTCCGTCAGCTCAGGCAGAGAGTCTGCTGGGCAGGAGGGTGCGCGTTGCACCAGCAGAGTCCCCAATTTGTCTCGATCGCCCAGCACCAGGTACAAACACCCAAAACCTGGCCTCGAAAGGACAGGAAGCCTCATAAGGGAAATGGCGGCTTGGCAAACCAAAGCGACCCCACTCCACTTCTCTCTGGGAGTGGTCGATGTTGCACCAAGTACCCAGGTGGGCAAAGTTGAGTGAGGGAGACATTTCCTCCTTCTCCCGCCCTGGTCTCTGTAATCCATGGCAGGTCAACCCCCTCATCCAAGTTCAAATCATGCATGAGGGATGTCTTGTTGTTCAACAGCAACACCATCAGGCCCAGGGGGCGGCTGACATTGCCACCAGGATCTTTCTGGTTGGGGGAGTAACCAGAAGAGGGGACCGGTATCAAACATCGGTCCCTCCTCCTCCTCCTCCTCCTATGCTAACCAGTTAGACCCCCAACGCCATATGTCCCCCTGCCCATCACCACCCCAATGGTGGCACCCTCATGCTCCCCAGGTAAAACCATCCCGAATTAAAAACGAAATAAAACACAGTCACACGAGAAGAAAGAAAAAGAGAAGATGGAAAAAAGAAATAATAAAGAAATAAAATAAATAGTTTTTATTTCAGACACTTTTAGGCCATTCAAAAACCAGAGTACTTCTAATTCTATCTCACAGGGTCATTGATGCAAGGATGGAACAGAACTAAGTAGGCCACCTTGGATTACTCACAAGAAGAAAAAGGTGGAATAAAATGTTTCAGGAGGCCAAAGGGAATGGGGGCTTTGGCCTTCCTGACTGGATGTTGTATTATCAAGCTTCTGTCTTAATATGGCTAAAAAAATAGATAAACTTAAGGAATAAGAGAATCCTTTATCTTGAAGGGCATGATCTACAAAGGGGTTGGCATGCTTATTATATGTGGTATGAGAAGTGTAAGACACATGGTTGTTTCTTAAATTTATATTAGAAAGTCAATAATATTGATGTGGGAAAAATTAAAGACAAAGCTGTATATTAAGTTGCCAAGGTGGCTTTCCCCTGTGAAAGCTCTTGTATATCCAAATGCATTGAATTTTGATACGATTGTGAGATATGATGATATTTTGGATAATGATGGAAGATTAAAATCAAATCAAGAATTACAAGAGCATAAAGTTTTCTTGGTGGCAAAAAGTTCAAATACAATCGAGATATGTTAAAGATTATAAAATGTGTGGTTTTTATAAGGAATTAACAATATTTGATAATAAATCAGATGAAAAAATGATTAAAAGACTGTATAATTTTCTTTTGGATATGAGAATGGAAGACAGAAATGGCAAAAGTTGTGGGAAAGAAATATTAAGGTAATCTTAAGCAACCTCATATAAAGAAAATCTTTATAAAAAGATTTATAGATGGTATTTATCGCCAAATAGATTAGCAAATATGTTTCCAAATATGTCAAATAGATGTTGGAAATGCAAACATAAACCTGGTACTTTTTATCATATGTGGTGGACTTGTGATAAGGCAAAAGACATATTGGGCTAAAATACATAAATGGCTTGAGAAAACGTTACAGAAATCTTCAATATTTAAACCTTAAGTTTTTTTAATGAGGCATTGTGTCTGATGATGTTGACAAACAAGCAATGTACTTGATTTTACACATAATTACCGCGGCAAGGATTGTGTTTGCCCAACATTGGAGGAATGAAGAACCACCTACTGATGAACTGATTTTAAAAATAAATGCCATGTGCTAATAACAACAATAATAATACTTGTTAAGAAGTACTAACTACTACTTCAACAATATTTTATTGCTATCATCATTTTTATCCTATTTTTCTGCCAAAAGAGCTCAATGCAAAAAAAAAAAAAAAAAAACCCTAAAATCCAGCAACATTTACAAGCATGGAATAATGAAGGGCAAAGTATTGTCACACCAAAATCCTGCAATTAAGGCTCAAATGATCAGTTTCTTGCCAGGGCAATTAGGTTTATTTATAATTCAATGCGTGGATCCATGGGTGCCCAAGGCAGGAACCCCCAGTGCTACTCCCATCAGGGTTATATGGAATGCACAAGAGGGGAGTGAATACAGTACTCAGGAAGGTGATTGGATGCTTTGATATGGATAGGAAAATGGTCACAGCACCATAAAGGAAAGTGACATTCCACTCTAATTAGATGCCTTTGACAGGCCTTCTAAATTAGTTACCTTGAACAGACTGGCCAAGTTAAGGAAACAGAAAGGTTGCATGTGTGAACTTACAGGGTTAGGGAGACACCCTTGCAAGTCCATAAAACACAGAGATTACAATTGACAGTTACCCACTAATGGAGTTGGGTCATTTGGTCTTCACCACCAGACACTTTTGATGTGTTTATGGCAAGGCAGTGAGGCAGGATGGCAAAATTTGTTTTTCTGAGTACAGGATGAAAAAGACTTAAATATAAGGAGAGGGTATAATATTGCATGGAAAATAGCAGTTTCAGAAAAACCTACCCACCATTTGAGAAAGTCAAGAGGGCAAAAGGGAAAATATATTTTTGCATCATAACAGTGTTGCTTTATTTTACATACAAATCAAATACTAGTATCAATTCAGGGTTCAGCTGCTTTTAATAGCCTATGGCTGCAATAATGTCAAAATGGAAAGAGCAGAATGATAAAATAGCAAGCCAATAACCATGATGAATGTAACCAATGTTATTGTAAACTGAAAAAATAGTTAAGACACAAACCATGTAATTTTAGACAGAAAAAAATGCCTGCAATTCTCAGAATGTCCCAGGCAGCGGAAAAGAGACCTGCAGTTATTTTTTCTGCCTAAACATAGGATCACACCTGAAACAAACCGAAGCCACAATTTAAAAAACCCCAGACAGATTAAAAACAGAGCACTAAAATGTGACAAAAGCAGCCAGTAAATTATTTGGAAATCATACCAGGGATAGCAAAAGCATCACTAGTGTTATTAACCATTATCGTCATGAAAGCACTCTAAGAGGATCTGCAATAGTCCTTGGGCAGCAATGTAACGTGGCATTTTCCAAAATACCGTGCATACTTACACGGAAGTTAAATATTTTTATGCTTCTTATTATACTCTGCCAATGGTTCACACTAAGGCACATACATAATGCAAGGCAAAATCAATAATAGTTAAAAGCATGACAGCCAAAAAGAGGCGAGGGTCACAGTCTTTTACAGGGTAGGGCAAACTTCAAGTCTCTGGAGCAACAATGCCTCCGCTGCAAGACCGTGCGAGTGTAAGCAGAAAAAAAGGCCTACAACTCCCAGCATGCCCTACACAGCTAAGGCACAACCCTATCCAAGATATTTTGTCGAATTAAGTATAATTCTGTGAAGCATCATGCTTCAATTCTTTGACGTGTCATTCTGTGTAAGTGCGGCCAGAAATAAAGAGCTACAAGTCACAGGATGAGCTTACTGAGGACGCTGGGAGTGGTAGTCCTTCCCGATGCCGGGCTCCGCCTGGGCAGGTCGGATGCGTGGCTGTAGCGTGGGAACCCCAGGCTTGAGGGCGGGGCTCCGTGACGCATAGGAATCCCTCACCGAGGCCAATGGGAAAACAGTAAACCATGGAGATGGGGCGGGGCGAAGGCTAGAGAGGCGCGCTGCGTCTACAGCACCGGACGTGACGGCTGCCTGTATAAGGCCAGGGGAGAGGCGTCGGAGGGTCGGAGTCGCGCCGCTGGAGCGCGTCGGGGTTGTGCGCGTCGCTTGGCGTCGTGCCCCGTGCGTGCATGCGTGGTGACGGAGCACGCGGGGAGGGGAGGGAGGCGCGGCTGGAGGCTCGAGGCTCGCCGCTGCTCTCAGCTGACCGCCCGCCATTTTGTTGGCCGCTCCGGCTTTTACCTCAGAGGTGCGCCGGCCGCGGCGAGCGGGCAAGAGGGGCGAGCGAGGGATGTGAGCCGCCGCCGCCGCCCTCCTCCTCTGCCGCCGCCGCCCTCCCTGCCTTCGCGGAGCCCACTGTCCCGCTCCCACCCAGCCGCTCTCGGTGCCGCTCCCTTCCCGCCCGCACCCGCTTCGCGATGGCGCTGAAGATGGTCAAAGGCAGCATCGACCGCATGTTCGACAAGAACCTGCAGGACCTGGTGCGGGGCATCCGCAACCACAAGGAGGACGAGGTGAGCCGCGGAGGCAGCGTCGGGCGCGGGCCCGGCTAACGGCAGCGCGCTGAGGCGGGTCGCCGTGAGGGGGCAGCGGCCAGGCTCCCGATGGCCTTCGGAGACTGCCCAGCCCTCCCTTTTCCCGTGGCATGGGGCCCCCTCGGCGCTCCGAACCGCAGCTCCCGTCAGCAGCCTCGCTCCACCCTGGGTGCCGTCCTGGTGTCCTGGACTACAAGCCCCAGCATCCCGGCCAGACCCTGCGGTGGCCTTCCCCCAGCTTGGTTGCTGCCCTGGTGGGGCTGCAAGTCCCATCATCCCACCCATCCTACCTAGCAGCTTTTTCCCTGGTCTGGAATAGCCTCTGGATATTTTGGGCTGCAAGTCCCATCAGCTGCCGTGCAGGCAGGCATTTCTAATATTTAGTGCCCTTTCCCCAGGCTGTATGCTGTCCTGATGTTCCGTATTGTAACTCCTATCAGTCTCATTCGTGCAGTGGCTGGCTGGTTGCAAGTGATTGGAGCTGTGGCTCAATGTACCTGGCAGGCACCTGGAAGTAGAGCACAGGAGAGTGAGGAAGTAAGAACTCACACGTACCTTTCCACGTCTCCTTTTTGAGGCATTCTCTTTGACTGAGAACGATGGGAAGCATAGCCTGACAAAACTGGAGGGCATGAGGTTGGGGTGGGCCCTTCTATTTTAAAAAAGCTTATAGTAGTGGGTGTTTCTAGGCAAGGTTTTTATTGTGTAATCATCCTGTTTTTATCAAGCTCCTTTGCACAATCAGAGCCATGGAGTGGAGTACCTCCCCAGTGTGGTTTGCCTTTCCAGTAGCTGGCAGTTGCTTGTGAACCCCATCGAGTGGGTTGTGCGAGGGCTAAGAGTATAAGCCAAAAGCAGCATGGCTTATACAAGGGTTGTTCATGTTTCATTGGGTCCCCAGGATTGCACAGGGATTAGCTGCAGCTGGGCACTAAATATTAGAAATGCTTGCTTCCACAGCAGTGCACCTTAGTTTAAGTAGCCACAATGGCCGGCTTGGTCCTGCAGACCTGTCCAGTGTCTCCCAGTACTAGTCCTCCCGTGTTTTCCCATCTTGTCGGTTTTTCTTGCTAGTCACAATGTTCTGTTGAAAGAGAGACAGGTGAAATTGCTGTGCAGTGTCTTTTGGTTGGTGATGCTGGGTGCTTTCCACCAGAAAGCATATGAAGAAACGGTGCCTGAGTTTTTTTTGTTTCTTCATTGTTCCAACCCTTTTACATTTATGTCATGTTGTTTGAATTGTAAACCCGTGGGCAGGAGACTGCCTTGCAGTTAGAGATCTTCATAAGCTGCAGACTTGTTCTATAAAAAAACCCGTTGCTTTAAGTGCTAAATGAGAGCACTTTCAGCTGTTTGAAGCACTAACTCGACACCATTGTGTTCTAAACTGCACAACAGCTCTCCAATGCAAGCTATTGCCCCCTCATTGCAGATGGAGGAGTGAGGCTGAGAGAGGGCTGCCTGCTTAAGCTTATGTGGCTTTATGCATTGGAGAGGTAATATTTGAAGCAGGGACTTCCTGGTTCACAGCTCAGTCTTTTAGCTACTCTGCTACATCAGCCCTTTGCAAGTTGCTTAGTGTCATGAATGTTACAAGAGCTGGTGCTGTTAATGGCCACATTCTATTTATGTCTTTATCTGGAGCAAGTTCTACATCAGATACAGTTTTGACATCTGTGGCAACTTGTTGAAAGATTGTTGTTCATGTCAATGCAGTCTTGGATGACAAGATAAGCTGCTGCTGGGTCAGGATCATCCATATTCTGCTTGGCACACACTGTGTGACATTGTGGCTTGTTACAAGCATATGCATGAACAGGTCCAATCCCTCTGCCAACCCCAACCAGGCTACTAACCTTTGTGGAAAAACCCTTTCAACCGTGCTACAACAATCAGGCATACATATTTAACAATCAGGCATACATATTTTATTGATGGCAAACAAGCAACCTGATATCTTTATTGACTATCAGAAGCTGATATTAATTGTAGCATCAAACTTACAGTCTTCATAGTACTACTGACGTTGCAAAAAGTTTACATGATGATAAAATGTCAGTAGTTCTTTTTCTAAGAAGAATTGCTCAGTACAACCAAACAATTACATGAAATACTAAGTTTTGCTTGCTATTTTATGGCATTTTAGTTGGTTCTAATTAAGATATGGGCCAATGCAGGACTTCCTAGAGTTGGAAGGGGCCAAGTAGGTCATCAACTAAACTACCCTTCTCAACATGGGGATCCAGTTTAAAGTGCTCCAGTTTGGTTGAAAACTTCCAGTGACTGAGAGCTTACCACCTCCCTAGGCAGTTGGTTCCATTGTCCGATTGCCTTGATGGTTAGGACATCCTCACTTTCAACCAAAATCTATCTTCCTGTAACTTAAGCCAATTATTTTGCATGCTACAGGTTGAGATGATAGAGAACAGGTTGCAGCCCTCTTCAGTATGACCCTTCAGGTACTTGAAAAGTGTTCTTTTCCCCTCTATTCTGCTTTGGTTCTAGCACATTACATGCTCAGTACTTCTTACAAACAGTGGTAGTCCTGTGTCTGTTTTTAGGGAGTTATGCCCAAAATCATTGTGAGCATGATGAAAGAAGCATATTTTCACACATGCACTGTTTGGCATTTTTATTTGAATTATTTTCATGCCACTGCACAGCCAAAAGCACTCCCAGAGTCGCTTACATATAATCAATTAAACAAGACAATATTTGCCTGCAGGAGTACAATCTGGAAAGATATCACACACATGCGCACACAAAAAGAATGAGAGGGAAGAGGCATAAAATTTTCAGCATGTCTTATGGAATGGTCTTGCTTCCTTCTCTGATACCTTTTGGTAGGATACAACCATTGGTCTGTCTTGCTAAGTGTTGTCTACACATGTGTACTGTCAGTGACTCTCCATAATTTCAGGAGTCTTTTCTAACTGGGTGTGGTGAGCATCATTCTGGGACTTTCCATGTCATGTATGTGCTCTCCAGAGTGTTTGCTGAACAGCAAGTCTGAGATCAGAGCAAGCCTTTGGTTAATGGCAGGCCAAAAGAGGAACCACTGCTGGCAAATCTGCAAGAAATGACTGGGTTGGGGAAAGGAAGTTACAAGAACCTTGGCAAGTAAAGTGAAGTGTTTGGAAAAGACTATGGTCTGTTAAAAATTGCAGTGGTGTCTTGGCACAGCTGTGGTTAGATAAACTGTAGCTTATGTATTGTTGCTTGAATTCTAAAACAATTTTTTCCTGAGTATCCAAATTGCTAGGTTAACTTTAAGATGAATTTGTCAGCAACTGATATAATCAGTTGTACTATTAACCAGCTGACGGTAAGAAGCTGAATCATTAGCAGGCAAAAATGCTGAACCACATACCGATAAAGTTGGTTTGGTTGCATGCAAAGTCATTTCTATTTAGTAGTTCCCAGGCACAAGGGAAGTCATCTGGAAATTTTGTCATCCTTCCTTGGAGATCTTTGTGTCCTGGACATGTCTGCAGTGTGGTCAGATTTAAAGTACTCACTGTCTGAAAATGCAGAGATAAGGTAGCTATACCCAATACTGTTTTTCTAGTGGAAGTTGGTTCTGTTGGTACACCGTGTCTTTCTAGTGTTCTTGACACTTCTTTCAGCATTTTCAGTCTCTGTGCTTATAGTCATACGTGTTGGAATGTGTGTATTGGCTGTGCTCTGGCATAAAAATAAATCATGGCTTATTGTAACAAGAAGAGGCCCTATTCTCCCTCAGTTCAAGCCCCCGCCCCCTGCTTTGTCAGAAGGATGTGTGTTTTGATAAACTACTGCTTAGCTTTGCACACAGCACCAAACTGACTCTTCTTAACAGGGATGATTAAAAACAAACCAGCTTCCTGAATGGTTTGAACTGGGGTTATATCAAGCAAATCCTAGTTAAGATTAACCAGAGTTAGTTGGGTTGGATGATGCTAGAAGCTGGGTTTCTAATAAAAAAAAGCTTCCAGTCTCACAGCCACGCTGGAGAAGGAGGCAGTCCTGAATTTTAAAGCCTCAGCAATAGCAGCAGGCTTGTAAATAATCATGCCTGTGCAGCAAGTAGGTGCTTCCCTTCATTTTGTTTCCTTCTCATTGTTTTAAGATCAGAAGCCCGTGGGTAGGATATTTCATAGTGCTCATGTCCTAAGATCCTAAGCACCAGATAAATATGTATCTATGTATTAAACATTTGCAGTGCAAAATGCCTGCATTGCTTCTGTCACTGTTCTATAAAAGGTTGAGTACTTGTCTGTCGCTGCACTAATCATCTTTTGTAGCTCACTTGCCAGGATGCTGTGGAAAAACGAGGATCATGGTCCCTGGAATTGCCATGTAAAGGGCGCATCCAGCAGGACTTGGCTGGAATTCAGGGGGACTACTGAACAGAAATGCAGAGTTGCTTATTCTGATTCATTAAGGCGGCTCCTTATCTAGCGCAGTTCCACATGTGCTTTTCTGAATTCAAATGAACCTGTGCTTGAACAAGTGTTACATTGGACAGGGAAAGCTTTACCTGCCCTCAGTGGCTTATCTCTGAAACTTCTGGGAGTGCCTTGCATTTGGAAGGAGCCAAGCGAAAACTACGACTCCTGCAGAGGCACAGCTGGCACCCACTTCCTGCAGAAGGGCCGTTCTGCTGCACCAGGCATGACCAGATGCCATAGTGCAGCGCAGGGCCACAAGGCTGGTGGCCGGTTTGCAGGGGATGCCATATGAGGCGAGACTGAGGGAACTGGGTCTCTTCAGCCTGGAGAAGAGGAGACTCAGAGGGGATCTGTTGGCAACATACAGGTGTGTGAGGGGGTATCCCACGGAGGTGGGCAGAGACCTGTTCTCCCCTGCAGAGGAAGGCAGGACACGCTCCAACAGAGCCAAGCTCAGGGAACCAAGGTTTAATTTGGATGCCTGGAAGCACTTCCTGACAGTTAGGACCACTAGGGTATGGAATGGGCTTCCTCGGGAGGTGGTTGAGG